GTTATCTTTTCCCTTTCATGTAGTGTGCCTGAACTCTATAGAAGGGCAAACAAAGAGCTTCCAAGACATTGAATCCCTTAAGCAAGGTGTTTATTTCCCTCGAATATGGGCATTTCTTGTTCACAGCTACAACACTCCGCAATGCACGGATGCGAATGTCCGAAGAGAATTCTGCATGTGCTCACAGGACGAAAGGTGTTGCTTGAGCCTTTTCAGAGGGTGCCCATACAGGCCCTCATACAAGGTCGAGTGAAAACAGTAATACGGTGCTCGTTAAAAAAACAGATTTTAATGTACATGTAAAAAAATACACTCATTTAAGATCTCAATCTTCCAGTTTTTAAATTAAATCTAGTACCAAGAATGACTTGGTCTTGTAGGTCAAGCCAATGAAGTTGCCAATCACAGCAAGTGACCAGGATGCTTTTTGGACAGCAGGAAATGTCATGGACCCAGTATAGCACAAGAATGAGCGCAATACCGGCCATAATGTCCGTTACCTCGAAGGAGCAGTCCTCCAGCACCACTGTGAGTGGTGAACTTGAGGCCCCTCCCCTGACTTGCATCACAGGGAAGGCTGGCTGGACATGATCCTCCTCCTGTGAAGAAGAAACATGGGCAATTTGTAGTATTTGAAAGGAAGATAATTATTAAAGAAAGTCTACTCAGTCTCCTCGGGGTAATTACAGCAATTTCAGGGTGTCTAGCGAATTATTATTTTGAAATTCCCCAACTTTTCCAGATTTTCCCTGACAATTTCAGGTGAAATTCCCTGACCTCTGTAGAGGCGGTTCAATATATGAGACCATTACAACACAAGGCATTGAGCATTGAGCACTGTGAGCAAATTTCTAGAACCACGGGTTTTTCGAGTAATTAAGCAACTGCAGTGGTCCCCAGATTCAAACCCAGGATCTCTGCATGACACCCAGGAGTGGTGCCCACTCGGCCACCACATCATGCGCGGCAATATATGTGGCCCCCTCGTGGGCCCAGAAAAATACAACACAATGCAAATAGCACATCAAGTAGCACACCGTTAAAGGGACACTTCAGTAAAGTGACAATTTGTAGATGAAAATATTTGTTCATGTTACACCAGCACACAATAAGAGCAACAACACCATATCCTGCCTTTTGCTATAATTTTGGCCTTTCAGCTAGCTCAAAGATTGAAGCCTAAACTTTCTTTCCCCACTTCACACCACATTGTCTTTATAAATTGCCAGAATTACCAAATAAGCACGACAGGCTTATTTGCATTTTATTGTATGTATCTCGGTATGCTCGGAGTCTGTTGAGGTAGTGCATGCCTATATAAAACACTGTTGCTTGTTGCTTTATTAGAGCATCTTTTATAGAGGCAGAAGGCATAAGACCAATACTGCCTGTCAGCCCAGCAACAGGTGCAGAGCAAGTGTTTGAACATCTCCTTCACCATATTTAGTCACATTATAATATTTCTTAAATTTTTTTGGCAAACCAAGTTTTTAAACAACTTCATCTTTTTAAAGCTACTCTTCTGATTTCTTTCAATGCTTTTTGCGTGTTCTTCGAGTTGGTGATGATGAATCTCTGTTAAACTGCAGGTTTCTTTTTTTCTACGAGATGCCAGAGAGGCTGCTCTTAGAACAGCCTCCCTGGCTGCTTTTGCTTCACAGGTACCTGCGAGCAGGGTTCTGAGTTACCATGCATACTGAAATTGACATGTGAGCCAGTTTTCACTTCGTTTAAGAGGTTAGAAATTATATCAGAATGGTATACCATACCTTCTCAATCAGAGAAGCTGGTGAATCCTTCAGCAGGGCTGCCACGCTCTTTACCACCTCCATGGCAGGAGCTGCAAAGAATGAGGTTGCTTAGTTTTCTGATGGTAAGTGTATTCTTATATGGCAATAATTCCTAAAATTCTATGCCAAAACACTATGAAATCAAGGCAATGACCACCACCCCCCGACTACATAAAAATAAATATCAAGGCAGGGATAAGAAACCCATATGTTTTATTCAACACAGCTGAATGATCACAATAATGCAGAATCCAATCAAGAAAGATATACCCAACTTTTTTGGACCTAATAAAAAAAACTATGCGTTGCAGAAAGCTGAAAGTTCACCAGCTTTAATGTAAAGTCAGCAATATTAAAAATGAGTAAACAGCTTGCTAAGTGTCCTTAGTTAATACCACCACACTCATTTGCAAGACAATAGACCATTTTCGAAAATCCCAGGAGCCATTCATAGGATTACTTGAATAGTTGACTGGGGCTTGCTTTTTTGCCGATTGAACAAGATTCCGAACCAAACACTTAGGCAGCACTCATGGCTATCTCGCTCAGCCACAACCATCCAAAACCATTAGTGGTTTTGGATGGTTGTGGCTGAGCGAGATAGCCATGAGCGATTCTGACATGAATACCTAAGAGAAAGATAATCCACATCGCTCTCCCTCTCTCTCTATTTTCTCCTTTGTATGCAATGGCAGCCGTAAGTGGTTGCATTTATTTATGGCATCCCCAAGTTATTACCCCCTGACAGAGGCATCGGGACAAGGGTGCAAGGGGAGGGGGCAGTTGCCCCCCCCCCTTTTTTTTTGACATTTGAAACAATTATAGCAGACAATATGGGAGAGAGGGATAGGGCTTAGCTTCCCTGCACATCACCCCTCCACCTTCCAAACGGTAGCAATTTAGCTGGCCTCTGCCCACAGTGGCGAAACACATAGCTCTATATTTATACAGACTTTCCCGAAGGGTAGGATGAATGCAATTTCTTAACAACTGGATTTGTCCAAGTGGAATCGTCCAAGTTTTTATAGATTAATTAGTGTGAACAATCTATTGTGTTTCAGAGCTGGCTGCCGTATACTATAGTTTATTTTACACCTTTACAAAAAAAAAAGCTAGCAAATGCATATAACATCTCAGTTTGGGGAGACCATTGACTAAATGTAATTTCAGCTCTACAAGGAGCTAATTTGCTATAAAGTACCATTTAACCTGAATAAAAAAAATAAAAAATTATACATACTAAAATGCACAAATTCTATAAAATATATATATATATACATATATATATATATAAAAGCAGCCCAACCCAAGAACACACAGGTTGTGATTCGCAAGAGTTAAAATAATTGATAAATGTGCCACATGTCAAAACAAAGAATGCATTATGGCCTGCTTAAGCTCCGCCACAACCGACACTACTAGATAGTCAGCAAGCTGTTCATGTGTGCCACTTCATCATGCAGCTAGCTGCACAATAGATGTGCGCTCTAAATTTCTTGGTGCATGTGAATGAACTGGTTGCGCCACTCTGAATGCAGGTGCAGGCACATGCATTGCAAGGTCGAATTTAGAGCTCTTTTTTTCTTTTTTTCAAATAGTAGGAAGGTGAATTTATAAATTGCTTAGGCCCGCTTCAGACGGGGCAACTTTTCCAGCAATTTTGAGGTTGCTGGCGGGTTGTTCCCTAGCTTTCCCTAGATCAACACGAATTGCTGAGATCGGGTCCGGCTCGAACGAGCGAGCAACTCGGAGCAATTCGAAGACGTTTGAAAGGGCTGCAGCCAATCAGGGACGCGATATTTTCACTTGACACCCCTGGGGTGGTGATGATGACAGCTATGAACTTGGTTCTGGTTTGAAATGGATCGTTTTTGGAAATAAACTGCTTCAGAAAGATGAGTTACTATTCTCAACACAATTCAAACATATAAAAACACGTTTTTAGCGCGTAGCTGTGCGTCTAAATAGTGCAAGAAAAATCAAATTTCATGATGATGATGGCAAGTCGGAGCAATTCGGTTGCTGCGTGTGAACGCGGGCGGCCCGTGTTGCTGGAGTTGCGACGTCAAGTTGCTGGGCGAAATTGCTCCGTCTGAAGCGGGCCTTAGGCCTACTCTTGCAACATCATAGTGACCCTCAACCCTTCATCTAGCTTTAAAGGGCCTCTAAAAAAAAATTATTTTAAGCAGCTTGGTTGGGACGCGCGTGTCAAAAGAATTTTATGCGAAAAAAAAATGTTCAGAGCAATATTGACGGCAAAAGATTGATTTCAAATTATGCGGGCAAAGTCCATGACATGACAGAATGGTCATTTGCTCTTTCCACCTCAACGAGATGGTCATTCGTTCTTTCCACCTCAACGTGAAGGTGAAGCCGATCCACCTTTCCTCCACACGCCCAAATGCCAAGAGAAAAGCAGTTGAAAGGAGGTGACTACTGACTTAATTGCAAGGCACCTCGCGCCATCAATATTTCTGTAAAATAAAATGTTTTTTTTTGCTTCAATTTTCTTTGACACGCGTGCCCCAACAAGACTTTAAAAAAAAATTTTTTCAGGTGTTTTTAAGAATTGATAATTACAAACTTGCCATTTAAGTTCAACCTATATTTCTACGTTGATTTGGAAACAAAAAAAGAATGTTTTAAGACTTACGGTATTTGCGGCACAGAAATATGTAGTCATAAATGTACCCATATTACCTCCATATTATTTACAAGTTAAAAATCAAACCGCTAGCCTCCCTCTTCAGCTAACCAGTGTCAAATGTACTACTAAATTAACAGTCCAATAAATACCCTGTTATACGAAAGAACATAACAGTTGAACAGAACATGACATTTGAATGAATCAAGAATTTAAAATAAATCAGTCACATAACAAAAAAACTCGTTGAGTAAAGATAATTCCTGGCAAATACATTCACATATCGCAGTGACGTAACTGACACTCCACTCGCACCCAACAAGCCGAATCTTGGCAAATAAGGACTAACTCAACACTCTGTGGCATTCGGCTTTGGACCTACTGGGAGGACTTTACTACAGCACACATCTACCGCCAAGAAGACAGCCATATTTTAACAGCGAAAATGAAATAAACATGACTTCGAACACAAAAATAACCAATCATAACGTCTCTCACGGACTATTAGAATAAAAAGCACTTACAAATAGCGCTGTACAGGGCCTTTCGCCGTGGATTACACGCTGGACTCGTCGGAGATTCCCGGTCAAGAGTTAGACACAATCCAAGCTCATCAGATCCTGACAAAAAGTACATTCACTGTAAAAACAAATTCCGTCAAAATAAAAATTGTTAGCTAATTTTTGATGCCGATACAATTAGTGTTGTCTTCCATCACGGTCACAGCATTAACTATCTATTACGTGCATGACAGTAATGAGGCCCCACGGTTTTCCCCGTAACTTGACCTGGGTAGAAGCATGGCAGAAAACTGCAACTCTCAGTCAGCATGTGATGCACGGATACGGGTATTGTTCCGGAATCAAAAATTAGCTGCCATGTTGTCTGTAACTTGCGACGGCAAAAAACCGCAACTTTCAATCACAGAGTTGCACGTGACGCACGACGACGGGAATCGTTTAAATTAGCTGGCATGTTGTTCGCACCTTGAAGCAACGGCCAGAGCTTGTTAAACTGCTAGCTGCAGTGACTTAACAAAATGGACGTCTCAGTGAACAATAAATATAGCATTTTACTAATATAATTATTGTTCGCAGAGACGTCCGTTTTATTAGATCATTGCAGCTAGCAGTTCAACAGGCTCTAGCCGTTACTGCAAGGTATGGACAACACGGCAGCTAATTTTTAATGTCTGAATGATTCCCGTTGTCACGCATGACGTGCAGCTCAGTGATTGAGAGTTGCAGCTTTTTGCCGCCGCAAGTTACGGACAACACACCAACTAATTTTTGATGCGGGAACAATTCAAAGTAAATATCTAGCGACCATAAAATCTGATTAGGTTGTGGGCCCAAGTTACTTTCAGGAGTTAACGCCAGCTGCGCTTCCCAGCGGTTAGCAGGTGCTTAAACACTGTTAGAAATTTGAAGCAAGTGCACACAAGATACAGTATTAGGTAAAACATGTTCATACCTTTTTTCTCAAGAAATAATTAGCGGGCCATTTCCATCTTTCATGTACAAAGCAATCTCTGATTTTCAGAGCAATAAAGTCCATATGAAGAACTACAGATCCTGGAAAAGCAAAACAGAAAATATGGAATGTGATTAGATTATCAACAGAGTGCGATGACAGAATAAATTTCCCAATTTCTGCAAACTATGAGTTAGACGTGAGCGCATTGCAAGAGCCTCAGCTTAACTCTCGCAGGAACTAGACAGCAAAACCAACTTGAGACCTATGCTACGAATTAACAAAGGAAGTCCGAAAATGCCTTCGAAGACAAAATTGCTGCAATCAATGAGTTTCTGCAAGCATGCTGTCACGAGTTACTTTCAGAAGTTACTGCCAACTGTGTCTCTCAAGAGATAATTACACACTGTGGTAGCAAGAAATTTCAAGCAAGCGCACATAAGATGCAGTACGGAGTAAAACCTGTTCATACCTTTATTCTTGAGAAATAATTAGTGGGCCATGTCCAGCTTTCATGTACAAGGCAATCTCTGATTTTCAGAGATTGGAAAACTACAGAACCTGGAAAAAAAATAAGTGGAATGTGATTAGGTTCTGAACAGAATGCAATGACAAACTAAACCTCCCGATTTCTGCAAACTATGAGTTATACATAAGCGCAGTGCAGGTAACTCAGATTCATTCTGGCAGGCACTAATCAGTGAAACCAACGTGTGACTTATGCTATGAAACCATTTTAACAAGGCAAGTTCGAAAAATACCTTTCAAAATGAAATTTCCACATTCAATGAGTTTCTTCAAGCCTGCTGTCACAAGTTAATTTCAGAGGTTACTGCCAAGTGCACCTCCCAGAGATAGGTGTTCAAACACTGTGTTAGTAAGAAATTGCAAGCAAGTGCACACAAGATGCAGCACTGAGTAAAACATGTTCGTATCTATTCTTGAAAAATAATTACTGGGTTACGTCCAGCTTTCAAGTGGAAGGCAATGTTCGTAACCTGCACAGCAATCAAGTCTATATGAACAACTATAGAACCTCGAAACAAAGAAAAACAAAAAAATGTGGAATGTGGTTAGGTTCTGAACAGAATGCAATGACAAACCACCCGATACCTGCAAACTATGAGTTGCACGTAAGTGCACTGCAGGTGCCAGTGTGATTTAAGAAAGCTGTAAACCCAAATGAAATCACTTGAAAGGGGCCAGGACACAGAAATTAGGGAAGTTGGAGTATTCATTACATGATAGCCCCATAGGTTACTGGGCATACAGAAAACACTTAAGAATATTGAAAGTTCCAATAATTACAAAAATATATCTTTTAATGTTTCTGATTTTTATCTGCTGACCAGGATACCTGGGTGACCAGGCGATGCCTGAACACTGTCGAGATTGCGGTGCAAACTGCAGGAAACCTATTACATAATGAAGGAAACCTATTACATAATAAAAAACAGACCATCTTGAGTAAGCCAACCTTCACTGACTCCAACGAACAGTGAGATTCATTTTCTGAATCTTGGTTAGCATGTGGAGTGTGCAATGAAGAAGAAGGAAGTGCAAAATTCACGGTGCGCCTTATACCCAAGCGAACATAGTGCCATCTACACACTCCAATGAAAAATCAGTTGTTAGTAAGCACTTATCCTATGTAGTCCTTCCTTTTTGTCCTTTTCCCTTTCGTGCTGTTTTTCACGAAGAAAATTTCGAATCCATGATAAAGTGAGAGAATCAAGATTTAGTGAGGAAAGTTTTGATATTAAATGACAGTGAGATACATGATCGAAAGCCTTAGAGTAATAAAAAAATATGGCATCATACTTGGGAGTTAGTGTTCATATTAACATGAATATCACGGGTGAACTCCAGCAACTGCCTCTAGCATGAATATCTTTTACGAAACCTGTACTGATTTTGGTAGAAAAAGTTGTTAGTAGATTCCAGATGCGATACTACATGAGAAAATATTTTGAGTTCTAACAACTTGCATACAACGCTGGTTAATGATACGAGACGGTAGCTTCCCGCAGAGTGACGATCGCCACTTTTGTAGATTGGAACGACCTTCCCAACCTTCCACTCGGGTGGGATGCAACCAGTGGATGAATGCTGGAAAAGTAGACTGCATATTACTGCGTGCTTAGGGGTAGCCCAGGGGGCACCGCGCCCGACTGTCATGCAGAGGTCCCGGGTTTGAATCCTGGGACCGGCAGATGTCTTTATTTATTCCTAAAACGATGCTTCTAGAAAATTTGAGAAGGCCGTGGTTAATTCTAGAACAGAATGTTGGAGTACAGAATGTTCGAGTACAGAATGTTCTAGAAAGGAGAGTGCTATAAAAGAAGCCCCGCGTGGCCTTATGCAATCAGTTATCGCTTGTGCTCGACCCTGTTGTATTGAAGACACTCGACGCCTCCGACGTGCTGTTATTTCCCTTTAATTTGGGCAAAGTTCGCCCCATTAAACATTCATTTTGTTCAGTTTTACTTCGCCTCGTCACCTATTTTTTGTGACAACCCTTGGTATTTTTTAGAATTTTTGTATTATTTGAGTCGACACCAACCAAGCTGAAAATTTTGAGGTTATCATTAATATCGCAATTTCAGACGGTGTTATAGAAATAGGGTCCATATACCTAAAATCTACATCTGGTACAAACGGTAAAAAGGAACTATCTCCATCAGTAAAAGTAGACTAAAAGCAATTGTTCAAAACCGTAGGACATTCATTGTCCGAAATAACAGTGCCATCATTGTTCATCAAGAGTATTGAATGGGATGACTGATATGAGGAAATAAGTTTCCAAAACGTTTTTTGGTTATTCTATAATATTGAAGGCAGTTCACAGTTATAAAATTTGTCTTAGAAGAAATGCATACGTTCGATACAGAGTTTGGCCCAAGAGTTATATTTGGTCCAGGCTGCCTCAAAATTCGAGTTTTTGGCTATCTTAAATAGTCTTTTCTTTCTTTTGCCCTAGTTTTTAAAATCTTCCATGTACCAGGGTTTAGTGCTGTCTAACCAAATACGAACGCATAGAACAAAGGCAAGAATTCTAGCAACTTTTGTTTGGAAAGTAACTAGTTGTCATTAACTGTAGAATCAAAAAAATTTACAACATAATTGTCAGAAAATTTCGAGAGAGCTGTGTCAAATTTGGCCATCACTGGGCCACAATACCACTAGCAGACATTAGTTGCTAGAATGACAGCAAGCTGAAGTTTTCAAATAACCAACCTGCAGAAAAAAGATGTTTGAGTGCTCCATCACGGCTGTGCTAGCGTGCCCCGAATGACCGGCATGGGATAGCGGCTTTTGTAGAGGCATCGCAGCTGACGACCAATGTAGGCAGGCTCCTAATGCTCCTAACTTGAAATACACCAGGACGGGTTCTGGGAGCCGCTGTTTTCCCGTGGTTGGCTCGAGAATGATCGGTTCAGTGGCGTCCCATGGTCCGTCCAGCACATGGGCCCGTCATTGCTGGCGATGCTCAGAAGTATAGACTGCAACAAAAATATGTGTAAGTGCTCCATCATGGCTGTGGTAGCGTGTCCCCCCCTCCGATTTCAGCTTTTGGAGCAGGTAATTCTCGTTCATCACCTTGTAAAAAGCGATGCAAGTACTATAGAAAACCCCGCAGTTCCTCAAAGTGCCATAAAAACTGTTTTAACTGTGATTATAACACAGACAAATATTTACAGCAAAAAGATTGTTGTTGGAAGTGTTGTAATAGAAGGGGATAGAAAGTAAAAACGCAAAATGCCTTTAAATCTCGATCCATTTACTAAATCAGTTCAGTCTTCGACAACTGCAGGGCAATAAAACTATTTTAACAGAGCGAATAAACTACACGTCGTAACATGCACTTTTCCTTAAAGGGGTGGTGAACCGAAATTTGGATTTCAGAAAACAATGCAGGAGCTGTAGATGGGACGCTACAATCCTTACAACACTACTCGTAAGGCGATATTTCGAATGGACGGCCGTATATTTGGAAAAAGAGATGGAGATTGAACGAGGCCAAAGAGGGACGTGGAGTCAACGTATCTGGTTCTCTCCTCTCTTCGCTTTGCCTCATCAAGGCGACGAGGCGAGGAAGACGCAAGAAGATTCCCTCTCCTTCTCGACTCTTCTCAAAGAAACAAGACGTCAACATATCTGTCACATGCGCCTCCTTTTTTAAAAAAAATATGGTTGAGATATCGCTATATGGGTGATCTTTTGGTGTTTGTAGCATCCCGTTGCACGCTTTTGCTGCCGTGTTTTGTGGAATCCAGATTTCGGTTCAGCATCCCTTTAAAATGCAAATATAGCGAGGAAGAGTCATACGAGTGTTCCTCAAGTAATCGGGGCCACTGAAACAATGATTGACACCTCACTTCCTCCCATGCAAAGCATCAATAACCATTTCAGCCAAGGGGAAGCAACTATAAAGGGGAAGTAAAAGTTGAACACTTGTCTCGGAAAGTGGCTACTTTTCGCTCGAGCACATAATTTAATAGTTGCTTTTACGTAGGGAAATATAAGCGAGTAACTTGGTGTTCCTTAATTTCATAAAAGGACAAAATTGTTTCCGTCTATGGCAGTGCTCTCTCAGGTCACCGTGGGACAGAGGTGGTTTGTGTACCTCAGTCCTATTTATTATCGAGCGGTAACACATCATATCCGCTGAAAGTATTTAATAAATCATAGCGGCCAAAGCAGGTGGCACGTCATCGTCTGCTTCCAGCCAGCATCTAATGATGTTGTTGGCGCCATCCTGCGGTATGTTATGCAAGCACGGTCGTCGTTCGCCCGCTAGGCCTACCGCGAAACGAACGAACTACCGGTCCCTATGACAATTGCCGGATCACGCATCCCCACTTGCTCGCTGCAGCGCGAGTGCGGCCACCGAACAACCATCTTGCACATTGAAAAATTGTTTTTGGAACGTGGTGGAGGATGGCGGCAGCTAGCTGAAGACATGTTTTCTACTTGTTTCTCGTCATTTGCCAAACAAGTTTTTTAAAACCCTGTGTAAGCCGTGAAACTTGCCGTTGAGAAAACGTGGAAATTTTTACGGCAGCAGAGTGTCACAGGAAAAAGGCACAACTTGTCGAAAGCATGTTTCACCGGTCTAGCAGCGTGATCAAAGCTTCCCTGGCCCACAAAAGCACTGCGTCTCTGCGCCTTCGCATGCTCGGATGACAATAAAGAATCGACGTGTAAATGTGTTTTACGAGTGCGATGTGTGTAAAGCCATATGTGCTTCTGGAGCAGCATTTTACTTTACCCCGACGACTGTACAGGGTGTCACAAAAGAAAATTTACACGGTCTTTTTTACTGCAAAAATCAACTAGGCATCATCGAACGCTCATTCTCTGCCGAAAGATAGAGCTAGAGGTCACAACCGGATGGCAAAGTTTCAGCCCGATCCGATAACTTAATAAAAAGTTATAAGCGATTTTTTGAAAATTTCAATGGGCAAATGGCCGCCGACAGAGTTTTCAAAACACATGGGGCTCTATGGCACCAGAAACCGAAAACGGGCAA